TCGACGCCCCTGAAAAGCCGAATGTAATCTCTGCTCCAATGCCAAAGCATGGCCACAATGCCCATGATGTTGAAGAAGATCTTTTTATTGCTACTGTTGATGATTTGATGACTCCGCTATCGATAATCAAGTTGAATTTACTGAAGGCTGGGATTTTCCCAGGTTGTGAAGAAGATTGCTGCCTTTATTCATCCTTACCTACCGACTGTCCATTGTTGAAGTTAGGCATCCAACACCTAATGGATAACCAATAAATCCTTTTTGAAAAGACTCCTGTTACACCGACTCCTGTCAATGATGTTTCAATAATTACCATATCCGCCAATCTTTCCAAGGTCTCCAAAAGACCTGTTAAGATTACATCTGATCCGAAGATTGCACCTTTGAAGATAAACATGCCAGGGCCCATCCCGTACAAGTCCGACAAATCAATACCGTGGAACTATGGGGGAGAGATCTTTTACCACAGTGTTAAACAAATTGAATCAACTGAAGAGAGTTCTGATGAAGAGACTTCCGACATTGGAAACATTGCCGGAACAATCAAAATCACCCGCAGTGGAAGAATTTTCTCTCCGGAGATTGCCCCTCCAAAGGCAATCTTCGGACCCTCAGCTGCTCCTAAGGTTACCCCTGTACCGGTCAACATATATGCAAGAACTCCAATCATTGAAGAAGTTGTGACTCTTGTGGTTGTCCCCTCTGCTGCTGCTGATGATAGAGGGAAGGGGATCCAAGAAGAGCCCGTCAGGACGAGGGCTTAGCCATTGGTCATCCCTGAGACCTCTAAAAAAGAAATGGAAGAAATTTTGAAAATAATCAAGAAGAGCGATTATAATATTGTGGAGCAACTGGGGCAAACCCCCTCAAAAATCTCGATGTTGGCCTTGCTGCTTTGTTCAGAAGCTCATGCTAAAGCTCTGATCAGATTTTTGAAGACGACCCATGTGCCACAGGAAACCTCCACGGATTAGTTCCAGGAATGTGTAGCTAGCCTAACAGCTGACAACGGTCTAGGATTCTCCGATGCTGATCTAACAATCAAAGGGAGAGAACATAATGACGCTTTGCATGTCTCGGTGGAATGCAGAGGGACTACTCTAGCACACGTACTGGTAGACGCTGGTTCTTCACTGAACGTCTTGCCAAAGAAAGCATTGGATATGTTGGATTGTGAAGGCCTGACTTTGAAGCCCAGCAACATCATTGTCAGTATTTATTTTGAGGGACCGGTAATTATTTTATTCGGTACGATATTTATTTTGAGGGACCAGTAATTATTTTATTTGGTCCGATATTTATTTTGAGGGATCGGTAATTATTTTGTTCGGTCTGGTTTTTATTCCGTTCGGTTTGGTAAAATATTATTCGGACCGATATTTAATTTTTCGGAGTTATTTTAATTATTTGGAGTTATTTTGATTAAGTGGCCTTTTGAATTATATTTTGGATTAGTAAGACTAGTGGAGGGTAGTATGGTATTTTCATGTTGTCTTAAGACCAAAATCCAAACAAAGGCATTAGTTGTTGTTTTATGAGAGATAGAAGTATCATAACATACAAAAACACACTTTGAGAGAGTTAGAGAGAGCTTGAGGTCTTGGAAGAGAAGAAGAGGAGCAAGAACAAAGCTTGGGTTTTGGGTTGGTTGGAACATCAAGAATCATTTCAAACATCTAAGGTAAGGGGTTTGATTTTCCAATGCTTATAGTTAGGGTTTGATTTGGTATATTTTGATTTGGGATAAAATTGATGTTAGAGTTCTTGAGATTTGTTAAGATAAATTAGGAGAGTTAATTTAGGTGTTAGTGTTGTGGAATTAATGCTATGTTAATAGAAATTAAATTAGGAAAACTAAATTATATTAATTAAGTTTAATTTATAACAAAAAAAAAACTAGCAGTATAATCATTTTATGAAGTTTAGAAAATTAGAACTAGCAGTATGTTCATTTTGTGAAGTTTAGAAAACTAGAACTAGCAGTATGTTCATTTAATGAAGTTTAGAAAACGTATTAGCAGTATTCAAAATTACTAGCAGTATGTTCATTTAATGAAGTTTTGAAAATGTAATAGCAGTATGCAAAATTACTAGCAGTATGTTCATTTAATGAAGTTTAGAAAACGTAATGGCAATATTAGAAATTGAAAGTTAGTTTAGAAAATTATTTAATTTATGTTTTGTTTTTATTTTCTTAATTTAATATATTAAATATTTATATTAATTAAATATAAATATGACATAAGTTAGCCGATTTAATTTGGGATCTGATTATGTTCCGATTTCTCGATTTCGGCAATTTCGACGACGGAGCAAGTTGCTCCGAATTTAACGAAAATTGACGCGTTAGCTAATTTTAACGTATAGAACGTCATAGTGAGGTTAGTTTTTCGAGATTACAAGTTTTTAACCGAGCGACCCGAAATAGGCCAATTTACGGTTAATTTGAAAAGGGTTGCGTTTTAGTCGGTTTAAGTCGCGTATGGACAATCCGATTGCGACGTTAATGATTATGATTGATGCCGATTATTATGAATGACTTTCGCAACGATTATTGATGTTTGACTATTTTTCCGTGTTTGAAATTTAGTGAATTATTTAATAATGATGTGGTGTGATTAAATATGATGTTTGCGACAGTTTATTTATAATGAATACTTGATGATATGCGATGCGATGATATGTTTATCTTAATGTGGATGAATATGGCGACGTGAGTTTTATACCAATTTTGATGTGCGATGATGATGTTTTGTTGTGTCGTGTTTGTGATGTCGTGTTGTCGAGTCACATACATTGCATTGACGACGAGGGCTTTTATGCCAAGCGACAAAGGCTTTTATGCCAAAGCGACGATGGGCTTTTATGCCGAATGTCCCTAATTATAGACAAAGCGACGAGTACCACATGTATAACATAGTCGTGTCTCATGGAGTCGGTTATGTTTATTTTTGAGTCTTTTGGCGTTGATTTTTATTTGATGGCTTATAATGAATTGCGATGTTATATGATACCTTGTTTTGTGACGATTTTTATGTTGTACATAAAGTGATTATGATGTGATAATTTCATGAAAATTATGCGATGGATATAACATGACGGTAAAGCGACGATATGAGTTTATGGCAATGAAGTTTATGTCTTGTTTTGACATGATTATGGTGATTATGTGATGATACTAAAGTGTTGATCTTATACACTAAATGATGATTTAAAAGTATGTGAGATTTGATATTTGTTGACATATTCTTATTAACCTATATCATTTATGATTCCAAAACTATTTATATATTTTATCATGCCTTTAATTATATGTTTTGGAGTATCTCACCCTTTACTTGTTTCGCCGTTGCCTTTATATTGGTAACGTGCAGGTGATCCACGAGGATGGTGAGGATTAGCTCGGGTCTCTTTATTTTGAGTCGCTCTGCTCTGATCGTAGTAACACTCGGGATTTGGGCGACATTATTATTTTGATATGATAGTTTATGTATACTATCTTATGACTTTATGTATTGATGATAACATGATGATACATATATTTTGTGAACACATCCGCTGTGCTGTGATTAGTCATATGTTTACATGATGGTTTATGTTATGAATCGGTATATCCGACTTTTGATTTTGTGATGTGCATTATAATGCAAAGTGATGAAAAACACGAATATATGATACCTCAATTTATGTTTGGATGAAATTTTGAAACTCTGATTTTATTATTAATTACGAGGGGTAGAATTGGGGTGTTACAGACCCCCCTGAGTCTTCTCCATGATGGCATCCAGAACACCTCTAACATTAGAGCCATTAGGAAACAAAACACCATCAATACCCGACTGCGCAATCTTCATAATATGATAACACCTAGGCAACACATCGGTGGCATGATCGATTTGCGCCTACTCCTCCTATGGAATCTCCTAATGAGCTGACCTAAGAGGGTTTTCTAGAGCATGACGTACCAAGTATGGATGACACACCCTAAAGAACCATATGATATAACCGTCCATGTAGCTCCAATCATCTGGAGCAATGGTACTCCAAGCCTCATCTAGAACAAGATGGTTCTCATAATCATCAAACAAAGCATCCATATCCATGCGTTTCACCAGGGGAAGAACAAATACAACATGATCCCGGAGAATGGTCTGGGTGTACCCGAATTGACGTATGACGCAACCAACCATCACGTAAATAGCACAACATCATTAAATGGTATCGTGACATGATGGTAAGGGTATGAATGGAAGTGTATGTCCTCAAACACCAGCCGATCAATATACACCCAAAATGACACTGTCGCCTGGTTCCCTCAAAGCGGGTCATATGCAATGACACGTAACTTAGCTTCAGTATAATCAGTAGCTAGTGACCAACCCGAGACGTGGGGGAAGTGAGTTAGGATCCAGTTCTGAAATAACAATAATTATGAGATTTTAAGGATATTTAGGGAATTTCGCGTGTTTTAGAAAACCATTGGATGGAAAAAGAAATTCTAAATTTTTTTCCATATAATTTAATTAGGGGTGGCAAACGGGCATGTCTGTCCCGTTTAGGCCCGCCCAGTAAAAGCCAGCAAAAAATGAGGCGGAACAGGACATACGTAATTGAAGATGCGGACCTAAAACCTAGTCCTGCTCCGCAAAAGAGTGAGGACAGAGCGGATAAATCCCACGGACGTTACATCTTTTAAGTCTAAAAACACAAAAATTTATAAAAATATACATACCCGTAAAAACCCGCATCGAAAACGGACGAAGCGGAATATATATATTAGAGGATAAAAACTTAAAACTTTAACCCACCTACACTAAAGCGCGAACAAAACAGGAGCCCATTATGCCTCTAATTTTAATATCTTCGTCAAAAAAATAAAAATAAAAGCCACCTCAACTCATTTCATAAACTTCACCTAAAAGCAATCTCAATTTCACTCCAATACCCAAACCCTATTCCCCAAATTCTCCTCTACCTTTCTCTCCACTCCATCCACAACAATGGGATCCTCCGCGATGGTTCTAGACCCAAAACCCATCTCCGAACCGCCACCATCCCTCCCCTCCACAAAATCCGACTACCTTTACACCGGCGACACAGCCTCCGACGAAGATGACCTCTACAGTCGCCTCAAATCCCTCCAGCGACAACTCGAGTTCATCGACATCCAAGAAGAGTACGTAAAAGACGAACAGAAGAATCTCAAACGAGAGCTTCTTCGCGCGCAGGAAGAGGTTAAGAGGATCCAATCGGTTCCACTCGTTATCGGTCAATTCATGGAGATGGTTGATCAAAACAACGGTATCGTCGGATCAACTACTGGATCTAACTATTATGTGAGGATTCTTAGTACAATCAACCGTGAGCTTCTTAAGCCTTCTGCTTCCGTTGCGCTTCACCGACATTCGAATGCACTTGTTGATGTTCTTCCGCCGGAGGCTGATTCCAGTATCTCCCTCCTTAGCCAGTCTGAGAAGCCTGATGTTTCTTACAATGTTAGTTCGTTAACGATTTCTCAATTGGTTTTGGATTACGGTTATTTTTTGATAAATTACATAATCTAGGGTTTTCCTTAACATAAATTCCTTATTAGGTTTAATTTCTGCGAAAATTAGGGATTTATGTTTATATTTTTTTGTTTCAATTACAATTTGGTTATTAGGTTTAGTTGCCATGAAAATTTAATTTTCAACTGTTTGGTCTTGCTCTGAAAATTAACCATCATTACATTCACTGAAGTGTCTTTGTTTCTTTTTTTAGAAAGATTGGACACTTTGCATGACATTGAAGTGTTTTATTTGGGAAAATGTAATCCTTGATTCTGATGCCTGATGTAACAAATTTAGTTCAGATTGTAATGCTAGATTATTGATTCTAGGGGATAGGGCAGCTACATTATAGTGAAAGTATAGGTCATCATATATGAGTGAGAACTTAGATGAGTTAGATCTTCTGAAGAATGAGATGATGTCAAATGAGAAAGACGAGAGGTTACAATGAAGTTATTATCTGGCAGTCCAACTTATGTTTAATATGAACCATTGTCATCTTAAACTATACTCCCTCTGTCCCAAAATATAAGAGAAAAAATGTATTTTTCTTGTCCCAAAATATAAGAGAAAAAAATCACTTTCATCTTTTCAATTTGAAATTAAATGCAAAATGCATTTAGTTTACATTCTCTCTCATCTTTGATATAACCAACAACCAATTAGATTTGTTTTTACATCTTCCTAAACACTTTATTTCAAGAAAATCACAAATCAAATGATTATATTTTTACTTTTCTTAATAAGTGTGTTTTTTTTATTTTTTATCTTATATTTTGAGACGGAGGGAGTATTTTAATGTGGCCTGACCATTCTCCCTTGATATGGTTTTGATCTTTTTTAGGATATTGGAGGATGTGATATCCAGAAGCAGGAAATTCGCGAGGCTGTAGAGTTACCTCTCACACATCACGATCTTTACAAACAGATTGGTATTGATCCTCCTCGAGGTGTCTTACTATATGGCCCCCCTGGAACTGGTAAAACAATGCTTGCCAAAGCTGTTGCTAATCATACCACTGCCGCTTTCATTAGGGTTGTGGGTTCTGAGTTTGTGCAGAAGTATCTTGGCGAGGTATGAATTTATGTCATTTGCATTTGAAATGATGGTAACAATGTTGTAACTTACTCAGCTCTCTTTGTTTGCTTTTGACAATTATGGGTTTCAGATTCTTAATTTTCAATATTATTGTGCTTTTTTGAATTTGTATTCTGTTCCAAAATGGTTGCTCATTTATATTATTAGGATTACTTGAAAGAAATTTTGCATTATAAACTATTAAAGAAAGATAGATACAAAATCTTCTTTTATAGAAGAGATGAGAAATAGTTTGAAAATTGTTATCTGGTTATCTACATATTTCTGGAAAATAGGAAAATGTACTTGTTACTTTTTTTCTATTACCAACATTTATGTTATCCAAGCCCTATAGGGCTGTGAATTTGAAAATTGTTATCTGGTTATCTACATTTCTGAAAAATGGGAAAATATACTTGTTACTTTTTTCTATTACCAACATTTATGTTATCCAAGCCCTATTGTCTAGGACTGTGAATTTGAATTTTCCAGCTTGCTCTGTTGCGAAAAACCTAGAATGTGCAGATCTGTTCATTTTCTATCCTCTCTTCAATGAATCTACACAATTCGTCTAGTCATTGAGGATAGAATTGCAAGCAATGCAATGGAGATTGCTGTCTTGTTGCAGCATATTTTCATATATAGAGCTGCCAACCCATAATTCTTTTAGTAGCTTTTCAGTCAATCAATAATCTCATAACTTCCCCTATTCCATTGGCCATGAATGAACAATAACCAGAAGTCCACTTCCTTTCCATGGTAATGCGAGCCCAATCTGCTTCTTTGAGGCTTATTTTTGCGTGTCCTGAGTTATTATTATACTGTGGTTGTCTTCCCGGTGACTCTTTTGGACACTTCACAATTTATGTGAACAACTTCACAAAAATGTTGAATGCATGAATTGAATTATCAAGCTTATTGCAAAATATACAATGAAATATCTTTCTGTATCTACCACTTTCTCAGTCTTTGCTGGTTGCATCTTTGTATTAGGCTCAGTGGGAGGTTCTGCTGCATTACACTTGAACAGCCCAGTCTAGCAAGTTCATTTCATTTCTTCTTTGGTTTGTCAACACGCCTTTTAGATCTGGCACGTTCTATCCCCAGAAAATGTTTTAGGTGACCCAAATCCTTATTTTCAATACACTTTTTCTTCTAGCTTCTCCTTCAAGCTTGTGGGTTTAGCTTCATCATTGTTTGTCAATTTATTTTCATGCACAGACAATTAGTTTCATCATTGTTTGTCAATTTATTTTCATGCAGACAATTAGTTTCATCATTGTTTGTCAATATATTGTCATGCACAGACAATTTAGTGCTGCAATGTCATCATTAGCTTAGTGTTGATAGAATAAAGTGTGATTAGCCTCACTTTGACGTATCTTTGAGTTTGACTATTCGCCAATGCTTCAAACCTTTCATACCATGCTCTAGGAGACTGTTTTTGTCTTCATAAAAACTTGTTAAAACTGCAAACTTTGTCTTCACATAACTATTTTCAGGCCCAAGTTGAAGGCTCATAAACACATCTTTCAATTCTCCATTCAGAAATGCATTCTTCACATCTAGTTATGTATATAGACCAGTCGAAGTTTACTGCTAAAGATAGCAGAATTCAAATTGGGTTGGTTTTTTCTGTTTTGTCAAATGTCTCTTGAATTCTGAAGGTTTTGTGTAGATCCATTGACTACACACCAAGGCAGGGGAAATCACAAGAGGGGATGGCTTTTTGAGAGCCTATTATAAAAGAAAAGGGGATATTGCTAGAGATATGAACAAATCCTAGTCAGTTAGTTTTATATTATTAGTTAGTTAGATAATAGCCAATAAATAGCAAGGTTCTAATATAAACAGGGGGAGGAAAAATTCATTGGTTTTACTTGAGAATTATCTTGTGTGAAAGGAGAATGCTCCTTTGAGGTATCCTTTGTTCATTCCTATTGTTTTTCCAGTGTAAATAGCAGAAAGCTCCTTTTCTCCATCTATTCTGTTGTTCTAACTTGTTAGAGTTGCTCTCTTTCCCCAGAAAGATTCCCATCCCTGCTACATTTTGCATCTTTTTACACTTACCATTAGCTTTGCATTTAATCGGAATCAACCCTTTAGCTACCTACTGTCTTCTTATGTCATGGAAAGTCGACTATTTTGTTATGTTTCTAGGAACAACCTTATTAGAAATTGAAGAGGTAAAAATTTTATGATTACTTGACACTTGACAGTCCCATGTAGAACATATGTTTTGAAATCAGTGTAGAGTACATGCCCTATTTTCTTTTTTAAAACTTATAGGAATGTCACTATCATAAACAGAACTGGAAGATATTTCTTACACGAGCCATATCGAGTTAAGTACTTGTTCACTTAATTTTAATTTAAGATTGTAGTCTGTTAGAAAACCTTTCCCTGCAATAGACAAAAATCTTCCATCTACAATTATAAATATCTTGTTACAAGAACATGTAGAATAACATATGAACAGATATGAATGAGCATCCACATGGTTAAAAGCACCTGAACTAAATCAATGATCCATGATGTAGTTTCTAAAATAGAGGGAAAGTACTAAGTTTGCTATATATTTTGGCAAGAATACCGCTAGGTGCCAAATAGGACTTAAAACAATTTTAAGAGGTGATGAGGTAGCTCTTTGCTACCTTTTAGGTTTACTTGTTTACCATGTAGTTTCTAGCAATTGTGTTGTGTATGATTCGGTTTGTTGAAACAAAAGCCACCATGCCTGAGATGGTGCTTCAGTCTCATGTTGATAAGAAGCACTTTTGCTGACACATGCATTAATTGAACCTGAACTTTGAACTTGTTTCCCAAGTTTTAATATGCCTCCTTGTTCCTTCTCTCCTTATCTATGAAAAATCTTCACCAATTGAAGGAAGAGATGTCCGGCCAATGATCCTTCTCATTTCATATTGTACTACTCTGGCCTGATTTATAAGCAAAAAAGACAAATTTCACGTTTATTAAGAAAGATAATTGAGTGCATTTACTTTTCTTGAATTCATATAGGAGAGATAATATAATTACTAGTATACCCTCGATTAAATTGTCATCCACTAACAATATTAAGTAATTAATGCAGGGATAATTTTGTAATACAAGCATTAAATGCACTTAGATTTGTGAACATTTGCTTATGTTTAAGGCCAAAAAATTTAGAAGACTTTTGCTTATAAATAAGGCCGGAGGGAGTATAGTGTAGAGTTCAGCAATGAATTTGAAAATTTTGTCTTCCTTCACTATCTTATAATGATTTTCATCTGTAGCAGAGTACTACTATTAATCAATTAAGAGATCCATATCCTTATATATCCAATTTAGATTGTTGCAGTGTTATCAAATATTTGCCACCGCAGAGCTGTGGCGGATATACATGGCAGCTTTTGGGCTTGCCGCAATGGTAAATATCGACCGATCTTGTGGGTTTTCCCGCCATAATCCGCTATAACGGTACCACGAAGTGGCCGGTAAGGCAGGATTTTGGCTCTCTGCCATGGACTGCCATCCAGCGTTAACAACACTGGATTGTAGTAATTTTTTATAGCTTCAGGGTTTACTCATAAAATTGTGATTTGGTGTCCAGATCTGAACACATTTGGTTCACATTATCCCAGAGCTCTTAACTGTATCATTGCACTTATATTTAGAGTCAATGTCGCCAGCCATCCAATGAGTTCACTAGCCATCTCATTATCAGGTCAGGGACTTTTGTGCATTTCACACCACATACCATTGGTCTATATCTGATTCGTTCGTGTTACGTGTCAGATGATCCATCTTTCCTCTGCACTGGATGCACAAAATATAGACCAAGACCACCGAAGAAAATTTATCCTATTCAAGTGATCTTATTTGTCACTCAATCAGTTTGAGTTCTTGCGGTAGTTATCTTGTTTGTGTTGTGGGAAGGGCTTATCCAGTGTTAATCTTCGGAGTAGATGGTCCAAAATTAACATCAACTACGCAGAACTATAGTTTTTTGTGCATAGCTACTAATAATACCAACTTGAAAGATAATTTGTTTTTTTAATTGATACAACAAATTAGGTTAGGAAGTCCTCTCCTATAGAATAGACAAAACACAAATCAGTTTTAGAGAATCTCTATGCTATCTAAGATAATTCTTTCTCTTGCAGATACGGCTCTGGAGTTACAGCTACTCTCTGCTGTTAGAGAGTTAGTTAGTCGAGTCGTGACATTTTATTATAGCATTTCCTGAGTTTCTGCCCCAATGCCACACTGATAATCAGAAGCAGTTTTCTGATTATCTACATTCCTAGAAAGGGAAATTACACTTACCGAATCACTATTTTCTATTATCTACATATATTTTATCTAATGCCCTATTATCCAGGACTTAATTTGAAAACTCTTTTGGATTTTTCAACAGGATTTCATTAGTATGTTGTTTACTTTTCTTGATTACAACTACCCTTCATGAAGCTTCCTGAGAGTTTCAAGACTCGTATTATCTTCATAGAAGAAGAATTAGTTTTGCAGCAAGGATTTACTGCATTATCTTCTAATCATCTATGCTATTTATGTCTCAGGGCCCAAGGATGGTTCGTGATGTCTTTCGTCTCGCAAAAGAGAATGCCCCTGCAATTATATTTATCGATGAGGTTGATGCGATTGCTACTGCTAGGTTTGATGCACAAACTGGAGCAGACAGAGAAGTACAACGTATTCTGATGGAACTTTTGAATCAGGTATCTCTATGAAATACATTTCTAAGATTTTCTCTTTGAATGTGTTATGCATTACTTGTAGTGGGCTCTGGTGACCAACAGTAATTTTAATTCTCTTACCTCTTAACCTCCAACTTTGATTTGGCTTCAATTCAACGTTTGTTTTAAATATTCTCTGATGCTCCGGTTTTTTACCTCTTGGATTTTTCAATAGATGGACGGTTTTGACCAGACAGTTAATGTTAAAGTCATAATGGCAACCAATCGGGCTGACACTTTGGATCCCGCCCTCTTGCGTCCTGGAAGGCTTGATCGTAAAATTGAGTTCCCATTGCCCGACAGACGCCAAAAGAGGCTTGTATTTCAGGCACGTCTTTTTACATTTCTATATATGTTATAATTCTTTATGCTATAACTATGTCTGTTGAGCATGTTTTTAGTCAATAATAGGTCATTTTATGTTTCATGTTGAGTGATTTCTGTTTATTTTGCAGATTTCACCTCCTTTATTTTGAACTAATGGTTTATTTTCAGTTGCTTTTCTAGCCTATTATTTGATGGTTCCACTTGTAACAGGTATGCACGGCCAAAATGAATTTGAGTGATGAGGTAGACTTGGAGGATTATGTTTCCCGTCCTGACAAAATTAGTGCTGCTGAGGTTTGTTCACATCTAATAATGTTCATGATTTATCATTTTATATAAGCCATACTTTTAATTAGTTTTAGGATTGTAGACGAATTGCCTAACTATCAAACTTTATTATTATTTTTACTTCTATTGTCTTGAGGTTTAAAACAAGACTATTAATAACTTGCTCAGGGACGGGTTGGTAGGTTCTTTTAGAATCTGTCATAATTTTGAGATTTATAGTTGAAGAGTATTGAAAAATAAGCAGTTTTGATAGTTTCACTTGAACTGAAAACTGGTGTTATGCTGTGGAGGGCTTGTTCTTCTAAGCTTAAAATGTTTTATAAAATAAGGAAATATAGATTGCCTAGATGTAATTTTATGCGTTCAAAGTTAAGCATTATCACTTAAAATGTAGCTTTCAGAAGAAACACAACTTTTAGAAAAGATGCCTGCTTTAATTATTTGTTGATTGTTGGTGCCGCAGATATCTGCTATTTGTCAAGAAGCGGGAATGCATGCTGTTCGTAAGAATAGATATGTCATACTGCCAAAGGACTTCGAGAAAGGTTATAGAACCAACGTGAAGAAACCTGATACTGACTTTGAATTTTACAAGTGATGACGAGGGCTTTCTGATTTGTTTGTGTATGTGCACGTTTCAGAATATAGTTACAGGGTACATTTCTAGAGTAATTGTGGGTCATGTATGTTCAAAAGAAATGATAATTTGTTTATGATTCTTGCATACTTTTCATCTTATTATGCAATGGAATTCTTTAATTTACTTACTGTGTCGGCTTAATATTGACAGTACCTGCATATGTTTGATCAGTTACTGAAGCTTTTAGGCTCCGGGAATCAAGTCTGGACAATTTCAAATAAAACATGTGACTAGTGCTCGTCTGAAACTGATGTTAAATTATTCAGATCAAAATAGGAAACTATTATATTCTGGTGTAGTTTTTACTGCTTATTGTTTTTGTAAAATGATTATTTGGATTAAAAATTCAAGATAATACTTTTCAATTATGTTTTTATTTTTATTCAACTAATGATATACTATGCTCTTTTTGTTAGTTTGGAGGAAGGGTGCGAGAGCAAAGAAGAGTTCTTTTACCTTATTTGAGAGAAATTTATTGGTAATCAGATAAGAAAATGATTAAGATTTTTTTAAAATAAATAGAGTATTTTAAAAATATTAAAGGATTTGAAGAATCCCTCCTTTCTACTCCTTTCATGTTTTTCAGAGTTCTTTCCTCCTCTCTTAAAAATATTAAGGATTTGAAGAATCCCTCCTTTCCTCCTCCTTTCTACAGGTATAATTGTAAAATCGTTACTAATTTAAAGAAAATAAAATTTGTATTGATCTTTTTTTTTGGGTCTATGATCGTTCAATTTTGTGGCACAAAATTAAGAAAATTCATGAACTATGTAAAACATTTTAATTCTCTAAAAAAATACATGTTAGTTTCTTGTGATTATAAGGCTGAAGGAAAAATAAATAAATAAATTCTGGAAAATAAGGTTCCTGCTAGGAGAGTGCTGACGAAGAGGTAAAGTAACTACAAATTTGTTCATAAAATAAAGGCAGCTGTGGATTGCAAATAGCATCACTTGAACAAGAGTCTATAATGAAGTAAGAAAAACTTTTATGCTAAGAACCAGAGGAGTTGGCAGTAATCCTTTAGTAGCATGCTTTGATAAAGGTTCCAAAATAAATAATGCAAGAGTGATCGAAGGAGTTCTATTTAACGAGTTTCTCATCGGTGTGCTTCTAAGGTTCCAAGACATAGTATAAAGAGTTCTATTTGATGAGTGTCTCATCGGTTGTGTTTTGTGTACTCGTTTATATCATAGTAGCTAAAATAAGAGGAAAGAATTTGCTATCTTGTGGGGAGCATGAGAAAGGTGTGATATATGGAGATGTTATCGTGGATGATATAAGTAGAATTTATGTTTATCAAAGTCTACCAAACTTTCACAACAAAAATTGTAGCAGGGGTTCGACATGCTACATGATGTCTTGAATTGGGACAAAAAATTTAGAAAATCTTGGAACAAGTATGGCTTCTCTCTTAATTCTTGAATTATCATATGCCGATTTTTATTCGTCCAAATAAGTTGGTTATGATTAAAAATAAAATAAATTTTAAATATAGAGCTTTCTTTAAGAAGTGTAAAGTGAACACAACATTCAAAAATTACTACGAGGAAAACGTAGTTAAATTTAATCTCGTACAAAACCTCTTAAAACATTAAGTTCAATATCTCTTTAGTTTAAAAGTGAAATATTGTTTATTTTATATAACAAGATGTATTAAAGATTACAAAGCTACTTTAATCCAAATTTTTCTTTTACTAAACAATTACATTAATCCGAATAAGAAACACCATGTTTATATCTAGGGTGAAAAGGACTATTTTGAATTATATCCATGATGAATACAATGTTTTGGGCTTCACGTGAAGTTTCTTGGACATGATTAACTTAATCAATTTTAAAATACTCTGCAAATCCATTATCATTTATAGGCATGTGTTTCAAATCATTTACTCCTTATGTTCTAAATTATAAATGACTTTGCCAATTTATTTTTCTTTCTTCTTTCCATTCTTTTAATTTTGTTTACTAATATAATTATTAAAGAATATTTTTGTGAAATTATTTATCATTTCACTTTTTATATAAAATAATAACTATAATTCTTAATTAATGTGAAATGACCAAAATATTTTATAATTTGAAACGGAGAGAGTAGTCTCTAACAATTATTAAAAAATTTAAGCGAAGACTTTCACCTTGTCTTCAACTATCTATTTATTAAAAAAAATTGCATGCGAACTACCAACAATATCTTTCACTTTAAATTTTAAAATACTTACAAAAAATTAAAATAATAAAAATATAATTTCTCAATTAATTCACTATAATTCAATCAAATGCTACCAAGTGTCAAGTTCTTTTTTTTGATATTTTTTTCCTTTCATTTTTTTCTTCACTTCTAACTCTTTCGCTCACCATCTCATTCTTCTTTTTCTATTCATTTTATTATTTTTATCTTTTCTATTTAATTGTTTTATCTTCTCTTAATTATTTTTAATATATTAAAATATTTAATTATAGTATATGATTATCATATTAAATATTTATTATGTATAAATATACACAATGTTGACATTTAATTTTATTTTTACGATAAATTTAATTAATTTATTTTATTTATTATTATTAAAAATATTAATTAATCTATTTTTAAATTTTTATAAAATTAAAATTTATTTTATGAAATTGAATAATCTTAATAGTCATAACTTTTCATCTAATAAATTACTATAAAAAATATCCATTCTATTTTAATTAGTAAATTTTATTATTTAGATATAAAATTCTTATTTTCAAATGTCAAAGTATCTTTTTATTTTTTACAGATCATTATCAACAAAATATATATTTTATTTTAATTAGCAATTATTTTCATTTGAAACACAAAATTCTTATTTTAAATATTAAATATTTATTTTTTTTCCTATGAGTCACTATCAGTAAAATGTCTATTTTATTTTAATTAATAATCATCTTTATTTGAGGCACAAAATTCTTATTTTGATTAATAATTGTCTTTATTTGAGACACAAAATTCTTATTTTCAAATGTCATTTTTTTTTTAAATTCACTTTTAATAAAATATATTTTTTATTTTAATTAACAATGACCTTTATTTAAAACATAAAATTCTTATTTTCAAATGTTAAAATCATTATTTATTTTATAACTAAAAAACTCATTTCAAATTTATATTTATATTTGTATTTAAATAAAATCTATATCATATTAAATAAATTTATCTATGTGGACGCACATATATTTTGCTAGTCATCCTCAAACAAATTCAAACTACCGAATCTAAATTTATAAAAATATGTCGGATTAATCAGAATGGTCTCACATTGTTTGGCAATCGAGATTGAAGATGACTTATACACGACACCCATATACATCAATTCAATAAACTCTTTTAAAAAGATAAAATCACGAGAATTCTTATACCTAAAACAGATAATATCTTATAGTTACAATGATATAGATTTAAGATTGATCAGAACATTAACCTCATATGTAGAAATCCGAATTTTGCACCATGCACCAAAAACATAAGGGCTTTCACACCCAAACAAACAACACCTCATACCTGCATTAGCACAGATTTGAAGTCGACAGAACATTAATATCGTATGTGAAAATTCAAAATTTGTACAATACTCCTTAGTCTTGACTGTGAGTTGTTCTGTTTGACTGAAACACTATTAACTAAATTAAGAAAATTTTAAAAACTAAATTTCAAGCGAGTTCTATATTTAATTATAGGTATCTATTAAGGAGCAATATATCATTGAATGGTGCGAGTTTTTCATTTTTATGTGAGACTCATTGTAATGTCTATTAGGCTAGGAGAAATGTTTCTATGTTTGTTTACACGAAAATGAAATGAACAACTTGTTTGGACAATTAAATAAATAAATTATGAGCTGTGATTAGGTTCAATATTGGAATGGAGACAATTGGTCACCAAGCACTGCCACCAAGCACTACTATAATCACAGCTCTTTTATTATTTTCCAACTACTATAATTGCTGGAGTTCAGATCTGGCTTGGTCCTTCATTAAATTAATTATTGTTGTTGTTGAATATTGGGAGATTGGAGAGTTGATTACAAACATTAATGTTGTTTTTGTTGTTTATATTAAAGTACATGGTACTAGTTGTTGATTTATTACCGTTATAGCTGGTGAGGTGTTTAGTGAATTGATTATGGAGATGATTTGGGAAACATTTGTTTGCAGATAAAGGAATATATAATCTGACAAACAAAGGTGGTGTCTATGGAATCGTACTGATTTACTTATAAGTGTAGTTCTAGTACTATCTATTGTCTCTTACATCGAATACTACTTTTTCTTTTTCACTTTTCCAAAGTATGTGCAATGTCGTGTAAATATGGAACCGGGTTGGCCTTCACTCAAACATTTTATGCGGTCGCGCATTTTTATATTAAATTGTAACTCGATTGTATTGAAATAGTATGTCTCGAAGAAAGATTACTTAGTCGAAGAATTTGTGGATCAAAGTAAGTTACACACAAATTTGATTTGTTTTATATTTAAATAGATTTGATTTAGATTTAAAATAGATAGATTTGATTTAATATCAAAATATATATTCTAAGCTTTTATAATTTTGGACTTTGACTTAGGAGCAAACTAACCTAAATCTATAAATAAAGGGAGTAACCCATACTTTTATAATTAAGTCAATTAAATTGTATTCACAGAATTTGCAGTTGCAAGTGAATAACAAAATGTTTCACAGTTTGTGGGTAGAGAGAAACTCTGCAGAAAATAATTGTCTTCTTTCTTTTATTTTCTTTTCTCATAATTCATTGTTATTGTATGGTGATATCAATCTTGTTCATCAAAATTGATAGAAATTCATCATAGATATTTGGTGGATTTCCAACATCTGGTATCAAGAGCTTGATTAATCGATTCAAAGGAAGTATCGATCGAGAACGATTGAGGAAGAAGAAGAATTTACGATGACGAGTTATGAGAATGCAAAT